GTGGGGGACCGACCTGATGTGGCAAGGGCGCCCACCTGAACCCCGTGGCGTTACATTATTAAAAGTCTGAACAGTACACAATTTAATTCTGTAATTGGCAAAATATTGTCCCTCAGCATTGACCGGGATTCGAAACTAGACGTTTCCTGCCTACAGACTAAATGCTTCACATAAGACAGCTCAGCTAAGCCCATCTCCACCTGGTGGTTTAACAAGGAATTTCACCCTATTTTTTAAAGATACGATATACTTTGTAGTTCGTAGCAGATAGTCCACCGTGTTTCACTGCAGCATACGTCGCGCATTTTGAATGGCTAGATCTGTACTATTTGATATAAAACAAGTCATTTTAATTCCAAGTTTTTAACAGTTTAAGTCTCTTTGTATAGCAAACTAAAGTATAGACAAAATCCAAAATATTAAACTGACGAGTATATTGTATATCTTTACACCAGGGTTCCAAATGGTTTATATAAATTGAACATGGAATAAATGTAATCTGTCATAATGAGCTATGAATCGCGTGGAGTGTCACTTAACATTTTGTTCTTACATTTGCAAGAGAAGAGCAACTGTAAGTGTAACTTAATCGGAAATGAAACTGAAACGTCGAAGACGCATAAAAAAGCAACTGTAATTTTTAAAAGAAGTCTCACAATAGCAATCAGATACTGAAGCAAATGCCAGTCTTTCTCACCCGTGTCCCCCGTTTTGGCGCTGTTGGTGAAAACGCGAGTGGTTTTCAGCGGTGATTATCTTTGGGAAGAAGGACGTGTTGATTCTTGGCAAAGATGCTGTACTCATTTTTCTGTAACGACAAATAATAAACATGTTACTGTAGGTCTTTTATTTAACAGGGGTTTATTTAACAGTGATTAACACTTTCACCATTGCCATAAAAACAGTACCATTATACACTTCACAGTTTCAACTTCTCTGTAATAATGCAACTGTCTTGTTCGAACATCTAATAATAATAATAGCTGTAATCGATTAATAGAGACTAGTACTAAAAACAACTGTATTTTTAGAATATATTTCCTTTGAACTACATTATGTTTGTTCTTGTAAAAAGAATTTTCGCTATTATTACAGGTGAAAGACAGAATACTGAATGGGTCCCACACTTTTGTTCAACAACATTTTTAAAAAGAAGAAAAAATAGTAATCTGCATTTTTTCTTTTAACCTCGATTGCACTACAGTGCTCGAGTCACCATCTTTCGTAACAGTATCGCTATCAAAAGGACCTTTGGTAACGCTTTAAATTTAGCATCGAAAAATATCATAGTAGAGTAATAAAACTTAATTTAAAGTCGATAGAGTTCAATCCAATAACCCATCTTTCTGAGACAGTTGCAATACCAAACAACTATGAAGACGCGTACAAAAAAGTATGTAAAATGTATAGAATTTGTATTGTGTTTTTCCGGCTTTATTTTCTTTCTTGTATCATTAGAAGTTCTACTCGAAATAAGTCTATTTTAGTTTCTTACTATTTGCGTTGCGTTTCACAGTAGTCTTTCCTCCACGCCTGTATCCAAACACGTTTGTTGTACTACACAGAGCCTGTGTGTGTACAACGTCGCCATAACAACACTGCGGAAGTTCTACCCACAGAACTGGATCAGAGCATATTGACAACAGACCCAGGCCAAACCTCACGGATCAGGCATTAAGAAGCACGTATTTGGAAATGTCGTCTCATAAATCAGGGCTGTCTAATGCAGTTTCTGGAGGGCTGGGTGGCCTGTAGGTTTTCATTTCAAGATCAGCTCTGAAGGAGGCAAATCAGCTAGTTACTGGGTTAATTAGACCAATTTAACAGCTTCTCTATGTCCTGGGTTTCATTTTTTTTCTTTAATCTCTAAAGCCCATACTTGACAGATTTACAATTTTAGCAATGTAGTATACCATGCCTGTCTCCAGAAACTGGAATTGGAAATGAATGGAGACTGGGGCCTAGTGAAAATGTATTCCAAAAAAAACCAGGAAAACTAACTTTCAAAAATAATAATTAGTAAAAGACATTATTCACATTATTCAAAAAGAAAAAAACAACTGCTTTGAATAGCACTACAGAAAAAATGTCCAAGCTGATTTGTATCGAGGTTATGTCACCTTTCCTGCATTCCAAAGGTTCATACTGGAAAATGAGTGCAACTGGAGTTGAGTTACTAAACATACAATAATTTGAAGTCTTTGGATCCTAAGCATTCAACTGAAGCAACTGAATAAAATTAATGGGTGGACAATAGATTAATGAGATCTTAAATATGACCTCTGATTATCCCATTTGCAGTATTTTTGCATCCAGATTTTTGATGTATTGACATTCTTTAGTTTATTTAGTTTATTATTTTATCATTTAACATCTTTCTTTTGGAGATTGTAAAACATGTGTGTGTGTGTGCATAGGCAAGAAAAAGTGAGTGTTTGGTTTTGGAATCTAGTTTTAGACAGATTGTCTAAATGTTTGGAATTAAACATTCTGAATTTGAACATTTGCTATCATTCTATCTCATTTAGTGCTAATGTTCACATTTTCTGCATGGCTTAATATTCTAATTGACAATAGTAGTTCCTTTTTTGATTAGCTTAAATATCAGATGGGCACCACACTTCACAAACCTGTAAAAAAATCTGTCTTATATACTGCAAAAGACATTTTAAATGACAGTGAGTTAATGATTTAAAAACCATAAATAGTGCATTAATGGTTTTGCAAAGGACTTAACAGAGCTATTTTTAACATGTTTTAAACCTTTAATGTTAACCATTGAGTATTCTCCTAACTAGTTATTTAACTTTATACATAAAAGATGTATTGCAATCTTTAATACATTTTATATGCAGTTTTAAGTTTTAGATCTAATAAATGACAATTTACAAGCAGCAGCAAAGCTTGTAGCTGTTAAAGTAGTGTTTGTAAAACTAATTGCAGTTATTTTTTATACACACCATCAGTTTACTTTAGAGATTTTTCTGTAGTGATATATTGTAAGCCCCTTTCAATGCCCTAATAACAATACATATAATAACAGATGAAATAAGACTAAACTAATATGAAATAACAAATGTATATATGCAGGGGAATAACACTTTCAGCCAAAAAATAAAAACCTGTGTTTACATATGTAATATCACTATATGTAATACATATGTAATATGCCCTATACTGTATGTATTCATACTGCTGAGGACCTACCTTTTTTAAAATCTGTGCTGTTTCTTAAGATATAATTTCCATGTAAGTTATGCTCTAGTTTTAGTGTAAGCAGCTAAGCATTTTAGACTATGCTTATTATTGTTTCTACTGTCCTTTATTCTGATGCATCTCTAATGCCAATTTGGAACTGGCTATGTTTAAGGAAGTATGAAACCTGTAAGCCACGCTTTTTTCACAAGATTTTTAACTGTATTTTTCCTGTTGCTGATTCCAGATTTCAAGAAGAAGAGCTTAGCTTTCAATTACTTACACAGTGAGCATTGGTTATTGACTACAATAGGTCTGTGACAAAATCTATTGCAAGATAATAGAGAGTACCTATTATGTGTATGAGTATATGGCATACATATACTGTATATATATTTATATCCTGTGCAACTTTACCCATTTACAATTTGTAGTTCTTGTTAAAAAAAACAGTGGGAAAAATAAATTTCCCATCTACAGTACCTACAAAGTATTAAGGCCAGGATGTTTGCCCTGAGATAACTGAGCAAAGGTGTGTGTTATAATCAATTAATTTACATTTGTAGTGTTTACATTTTAAAATGTACTAATTGGACGGTAAAGTATTAGCCAAGCAATTTAATTATTTGATTTTGAAAATTTACAAAAGTTATAGACCAATGAGTCCAACATGAGACCATCATGTGCTTAGATTGAGCATTGTGAAATATAGTACAATCCATTACAAAAGCATTCATTCACCTCCTATGGTCTCCCATTATGTGAAATTTCCAAGTACACAGACACACTGATATTTCTACGGTGTTTTCCAATCCTTCTAATTTGGTATAATCTGTAAACATAACCAATTAATAATTATTTTGGAATCTAGATTACTAAGATCAATTAAGAAAAACAGTGGTCCACGTACAGATCCCTGCAGGACTCCACTAATTACATCACACCAATTTATTGTATTGCATTTACTCTTTATCTATACAGTAACTTCTAGATAACAAATTTTCGATCCCAAATCTTGCCTTTCCCTGATTACCACCTGCTTTTTGATGATTAAACATGAATAAGGAGCTTTATCAAAAAGCTTCTGAAAATCTAAGTTCACCATATCATATGCACCATACTGTATGTATTCATACTGCTGAGACTTGTTCAAAGAACTCTTAACAAGCCAGTGTTTGGCCAAGACCTACCTTTTTTAAATCTGTGCTATTTCTTAAGATATAATTTCCATATAAGTTATACTCTAGTTTAGTTTTTATAACGGTGTGGTAGATCTGGTTTACCGCTGTTTTGTAGAGCAGTGTAGATCCGCACACATTTTAACACCCTCTTCTGTGGAATTAGGCGGAGACCAACGTTGTTGCCCTTTAATTTTTCGACCTGAAACCAGTCCATCACTTGCAGGCCTTTCTCCGTCTTGTCCCTTACTATTAGTAGCAGTGGAATTTTCCTTTAATTCAGTCATTTCCATTACAGCCTTCATTACCTAATATTCAGGCCGACATCGGAACAACCGAGGCTTCTACACAGGGTGAGTCTTCCCCTGCTCTCAATAACCAATAGGGAAATTGGCTTCCAACAGGTGACACCAACCCCCTGATAACGTCCTGCTTGTTAGATGATACATTTTCTCTGTTTTAGAGTGACTTTACGCTGCCCTCTGGTGGTCTAACCCCATTTTGACACTTCAGGTCCAGCTACTCTGCTACAAACTGTTTCCATGACTTGATTCAAACTTCATTCAGTTTTCCTACATTAGTAATTCCCCTGGCCCTGGGTACTACTCACGTCTTAAGCAACTGCTGAAAGAGTTGCAGTAATGCCTTCTGCATATCATCTCTCATGTTTCCTTGGGTACAAGTGGCAGGTTAACATCAGGTCCTGGGGAATTCTTAATCTTGAGTGTGTGTAATACCCAAAACACGTTTCTGACTTCTGTGCTGATACTATTTAATACAGATCTTTCTCCTTCCTGAGGCATACTGTTAACTCCTTCCTTAGTGAACACCTGAGTGAAATACTCGTTTTGTACATTGGTCATTTGCCTTTCATTCCCCAGACGCTTCTCATTTTGATCCCAGATATGTTTCACGTCATCCTCGATGATTCTTTGTACTGAAATCACTTTGAATTTGTATTATTTGTTTCAGCCTCCATTTCCAAATTTTCATTTTCTCTCTTGGCCTTTCCAGTATCCTTTTTTTATCTGTGCTTGCAATTCCTTGTACTCTTTCTTTTCCTGCACCATGTTGTTTTTAATCATTTTGTAAAGCTCCCTCTTTTCAGCTGCTCAGTTAGGAGGGACAGTCAGATCTAAGCAGTGGCTGGGTGGGTTCAGACACATTCCTCTTTTTAATGATTGGCTTCACTGTGCTCAAAGGGATATCCAGTCTTCTAGAATTATTTTATACCTTTCCCCTGATCTGTGCTATTCTACAGCTTTATCGCTGAGTTGTTTTGAAAGCTCCTTCATAGTTAAAGCTCTGTTTGAAATTCACTTCCCGATTGAATGAGGGACCTTACAGAGACAGGTGTATTTATAGTGAAATCATGTAAACCATTACTATTGCACACAGACAGAGGCTGCTCAAATAATTGTGGTGCTTTTTAAGGTAAGGTGCACTAAATTAACAACCAAATAGGTTGACTACTCATGCGATCATTACTTCTCCATTTTTCTTTTTATGTACTTTTTTGGCTTTTGCTTTGAATGTGTGGAGTAGGTTGTGTTTTGTATACAAAAAATGTAAATTGCTACATACTACAGTGCTACAGTATGGCTACATGCTTTAAAACAACAAGGCGAAAACTGTGCAAGTGTCTGAATACATTCTTAAGGCAAAATAAATAGAAAACAGAGAGTACAGATAAGAGCTGGTGTGGCCATTCTGGATAAATTCAGAATGGTTTGAATCATTGTCTGAATTAAGAGCATATGTTTAAATGTGGGGGGCAGTTTAAGCATACTGGGTTAGTCTCTGGACTTGTGACTGGTGGTGGTCTCTGTGTCCAAGACAGTGCTGTATCTTGAACAAGGCAATTTACAGCAAATGCTCCATTTCATCCTGCTCTATAAATGGGGTCAGTCCCTTTGATGGACTAGCATCCTGTTGAGTGGGGGAGTCACATGCTTCCAGCCTGATGAGCCAATGGGGCTCAGATACAGAAATGACCCATAAGCTAACATACTGTAAGTCTGTTGCTTTCACAGTATCTGCTCTTTATGTAAAAACATTATTCCTATTGTCAGACCTAAATCAGCTTACTTTATTTTTCTATGTATTCTTTTTTTTCTAGTTTGAAAGAGAGGCTTGGACGACTGTGGCAGCACAATTCACTATGTGAATACCTAAATAATATTTGACTAAGTCTATTCTTTGTTCATTGCTGGAGGGATTCACAGTTCTTCCCATGCAAAT